CTGACTGGCTGGAAAACCCCATGGAGAGTCCTGAGGTTTAAGAGAGCCAAAAGAGCATGGCTCAATTCAATCTCACTTTAGAACTTTGCTCAGCCTAATTAGTTTGCAAATATGTAATTTATTTTGCTCCAAGGGTCATAAATATTCTGTAGCTTCTTCTTCTCTTGACAGCTAAAGGGATGGGATCTACAAGACGTAATCTGAACAAAGAAAAACTTACTTTATTAACTCCTTTTAATGAAGTCTGATTCCCCTCTTAAAGGGAAAATGAAACTTCAGAATTTTCTGTCTAGCAGCACTATCTCTGTACTTGCAAAAATAATGTAAAAAGTTTCTGTTTTCCTTCATTTGCTAGTTTTAATGTCATTATTTTTATACAGTTCAATATTTGCTGAACTTTTGCTTTTATAGCCAGGTGACAAAATGGTCATTTATGAAACTCAATTATATTTAAATCAGGCAGAAACATTAAATTAATGAAGAAAACCAGATTCTTTGTAGAACCTATACCTGTTGCCATGTCACAGAAAAATTCATGGTGGTTTGTAATTTTCAGAAGAATTGCATTATGATTTCCAAATCATGTTAACTGAGTATAACTGTAAAATAATTTATGCTATTTGTCCTTAGAGAACTTATAGTAGTTTGTAATCTAGGTCTACTTTCACATAATTTTTGAGTTTGATTTTCTAACAAATTATAGGGAAAGAACCCATCCCACACCTCAGTTTGCGGTTCTTTTGTTCTATTGTATGGGCACATTTGGGGGAAAAAAGTCTTCCATTAACTAACTTCATAATTTGAGGTATGAGTCTATTATAGAGTACACAGCCTTTCGTTTTTCAAGTGGTAGTTTGCTTTCAGCCTCTACCTTGGGTATTCAAAAACCCTGTGTTTGGTCCTGTGCCAGGAAATTGTGGATGATTAATGTATGTATCCTCTCATTTAAGAAAGGCAAGTCAAATTACAGATCCGGGCTTTGCCTCCCCTGAATCTTTTCCTTTCCCTCTTTTTAAATTGGTCCCAATTTATGGAGCTCTTTCTATTGCACACAATAATCCTTATGTTCACACAATGTTAATAAGCCTCATAATAAGGGTTATTGTAGCAAAACCCTTACAGGTGGGACTCAAAAACAGACTGACTTCTTGTGTATAAACTTTGTAAAACTTACTTCAATAGATTTACTTCCATGCCTCTCCCCTATAATTTTGAAGGCCCTCCACGAGGCCCCCTCATCCACTTTACCTTTGAGTGTTGTAGCCCAGTGCTCTAATAACAGTTCAGCCAGTATTTAAGCTCTCTGCTCCTCTCCTCTGCAAACTGCTCTGCTGCGAAATTCAGTCAGCAGAGGGGAGAGTCTGGACATGGAGAACAGAAGAATATGAGGAAACTTGATTCTGAGTTGATTATAATGTAATTAGAGAAATGAGTCCCCTTGGCAGAAGTAGAGGGACAACTCAAACCTCCTCACAAGCCCTGTGAAATGGGAGAAGAGGAAGAATGCCAACCGTTTAACCCAAAAAGAGCTTTCACTAGAAACATTCAGATAATCCAAGTAAAATGTGGAAGATTTTTTTTTTTTACGGGGAGAAGGGAATTGTTGTTTTAATTGTTTAATCTAATAACCTCAATTTTCCTTCATTCGGTATGCTCTGATACTTTGCTAGGTCTATTATACATTTTTAACCTAAAATGATGAACCGTCTGATCTCCACACTTTTGATTTACAGATGATTTTATTTACAATTAAAATTGTGTGATTTGAATTCTACTGATTTTCTTGCTGAGTTGTATCAAGGCAAACAAATGAACAGAAGCATTACCAATTGTTCTCACCTACAAGGCTGAGTTACAGTGTATCAATGATCTTAAAATGACAGTATTAAAGTGGGCACGTACTGAATGGAGCACTGGGTGTTATACGCAAACAATGAATCATGGAACACTACATCAAAAACCAATGTATGATGATTAACATAACATAATAAAAAATAATTAAAAATAAAAATTAAAAAAATAAAGATCACTAAAAGGAACTAGAAAACAGATCCTAAAGACCTAGAGGAAAAAAAAAATGATGGTAGCAGTTGCGTCTTTACATCATAGAAATATGGAGAGGCATAGCACCTAGCAAAGTTGTCTGAAGCGGGAAAGGCATCTATCACAATCTCTCCTATATCTGTGCAAATGTTAATATTTATGAATAAGTATCTAAATACAGAGTATTTTTGCCATTAAACAGAGTCAAAGATGAACAACTTTTAGACTATCAATTGCATTATCTCAGTCTCCATATAATATCCCCATTTGCATAGATCAGTGACGTGTGGTGATGATTTTTTCACAGAGCACAGATTATTTTATCTATACCTTCTTTCAGTTTATTTTTCTACTTTTGTTTCTATGAACTTAATAAAAGTGTCTTCGTTGATGAGTTGGGAGACTCACTCAGCCCTGAGACGGTAGGATCTCAGTCAGTGGTGGAATCGAGCTCAGAACCAAATGACTTCCTTCATGATTTTAAAGCATGCATCACGACAGGGTCTTCTTGCAAAGGTTTTTGTAGTCAGCCTAATACCTGCATGAGTCTAATATGTCCCCATGCTACATCAAGCCATTCTCTATTAGGGTAAAGGAAAGGGCAATCAAACACCGACTGCTTCATGACATCACATTCAACACTGACTGGTCCATGACAATATTGACTGTCCAAAGGCTTAAGCATTTTTATTATAAGACCTGAAGAACAAACACGCTTTTATAAAGCTTTAAAAATCTCTGCAGAACAGTAAGCCTATTTCACATTGACTTTAAATTTGTTATATTTATTTACTGGCAAATTGATAAGATATGATGACTTTTAAGCTCTTGAATTCCTTGTTATACTGACCTTGAACAGAATCTTTCAAGGACAGTAGGATTTCAACTTCTCAGCATTTTAGCTTTCTAACTTTTCATTTGATTCCCTCCTCCCTTTCCTTAATCTGCATGATCTAATGCACTAACCTCTCAGTCAAAGCTATTTATTTTTCTTGGACTGATATTATATATACATTGATTCCACATCATCAACCAACTGGATCTGGGTTTCCTGAAAAAGCTTACAGGTTGTTAGCTTGTCAGCAACACTTGGATTAAGCTTTCATATTCCCATTTATCCTTGTAGCTTCTAATCAGTTGGATATCCCTGCCCATCAGTCTTTCCCACATGGCCTCCCTTAACTTTGATGCCAAGTATTATAATCTGAGGCTTTGACAAGGCAATGTACTCTCAAAAACAATGTCAGTTTTCTTACGAGGTAGAGAAACTGAGAAATACAAATGTCAGTTTTGCCAACTGGAAATATATCCTTTTGCTGGTTTTAGAACATCTGTAATGTATTAAATAAAGTCTGGTTGATATCTGGGATCCTTCTTTGCCACTAATAATTATCTGATATATATGACAAAATATATCAGATATATGTAAAATGTATATGTAAATTGTAAAATATATATGTAACTTTTATATATTTTAAATTCTACATTTTAGACAAAGAAAATGTCTTTACCATGCATTCAGCAACTTTTTTCTTTTCTGTAGTTCAGTAAGTAATTCAATGAAATTAAACAATTATCATAAAAAAGCTAAAGAGATGTCATGATAATGAATATTAGGGAAAAGGATGAAACAAAAGGAAGTATCAAAACAAATTCATTAAGTATATTCATACAATGTGGAATGAAAAATGTTACCTAAAGAATCTATATTATAATGCAATTAGTTTTCAGAAATATGCTGATAAATCATATTGTAATTTTATTGAATGTACCATCTTCAGTCATGGTTCATATAAAACAGTATCTCTACAGATATGATCCTGGTTACCTATGATTTAAACCTTTATTTTATGATTGATTATACGTTGTATTATGAGTCGATCATTTTACTTGGCTTTATTATATAAGCCAAACATAATTTCTTTCTGATTATTTATCAAGGCTTTACCACTTCCACTAGTAAATTTCTGCACCATTTTTTTTTAAAGATTTTATTTATTTGACAGAGAGAGACACAGAGAGGGAGGGAACACAAGCAGGGGGAGTGGGAGAGGGAGAAGCAGGTTCCCCATGGAGCAGGGAGCCCGATGTGGGGCTCGATCCCAGGACCCTGAGATCATGACCTGAGCCGAAGGCAGCCGCTTAACAACTGAGCCATCCAGGCGCCCCAATTTTTGCACTATTTAGCAAAAGCAGTAAGGCTGGAGGCATCTATGGAATTTTGTTGGCTTCCTCCAGAGGAATTTGTAAAGATATGATATTTTAAAGCTACCATTGTACCAAAATTCTTTGGCAAATTGAAGAGGTTGGCATGACCCAGGAGATGTTTCTAATAACCTTCACATCCCTGTACTTTTTCAGATTCTCTCTTCTTTGTGTCATGTTGGATCCAGGTCTCATAAAGTATAGAATTAAAAAGAAATTTGGAGAAGAAATACAGGAGGTGACAACCTTCAAACCAGCATTAAAAATAATTTGATTTGATTTGAGATTATCAAATAAATGATCTATTTTGGTTGTAAAGTCAGCTTTGTGACACTTTTCCACCATGAATGAAACACCTTATAGCTGAGGCCAGAGTTCTATATATTGAATTCCATATCTCCATGAAGTTCCATAGAAATAATGGATTTAAAGTAGATAAAATATTTGGGATGCATACAGTAAGGATGTTTTATTTAGATCATTCTTATTTCTTCAATATATTGTGAATGTATCATAAAAGAAGCTATTAATTTTCTTCTTTGGAAGTTACTGTGTGGAATCAGAAGGCTAAAATAGAGGTGAAGAAGGGCAGTGTTCACAAATCATTATCTTATATGTATTTTCTATTTTTTCAGGTATCTTCTGGGAAGATTGACAGTGAAATTATTCACTCAGCTTTGAAATAGGTTGTTTTGTTTACTTATTAAAATATATTAACCATAGACATATATATACTATTTTTCGTCTTCTAGCAATGGTTGTTTTGAGCAACCTGGAACCAAATACAACTTATGAAATCAGGGTTGCAGCAGTAAATGGAAAAGGGCAAGGAGACTACAGTAAAATAGAAATCTTCCAGACATTACCAGTCCGTAAGTAATTATCTCTGTTTTGCTCTCTGTTGCCATTCTCTTCATTTGCAAACTTATGGGATCTTAAAATGCAGGGAGGTGTTTCAACACTTTGGGGAAGTGAATTAGGTCTTTGTTGAATTGGTTTCTGAAAACAATGGCATCTAAGTATTTAAAAATAACTTTGCTCTGGAATGAGACAAAAAAGAAAAGACGCAGTGCAATAAATACAGTAAAACTGCCCTCAGGAAATTGTCCTCATCAGGAAGGTGTCCTATTCATTAATAGTCTGATTAATTAGATTATAGTGCTCAGACCATGGTCTGTGAGAAAGTAAAAATAGTGACTATGTAACACGTCCAATATTTCATTCTTTTGATGAGACATGACTCTTGCCTTTATCCCATAGATTCTGTAGGCCCTAAGTGTGAGAAAAAGGCACCACTGAATTAATCCATTTTCATGGTGACTGCGGAAGATTAACTATTGTAGCCTCATCTCTGCTACTGTCCTCTTTTGGGGAATTGTAAGGCAGTTGAATTACATAAAGTGAAGATAAATTTGAAAAGACTTCCATTTCCTTTATGTTGAATAAATTATTTGACAATGTGAGAAATTTGACTGTGACCCAAGAAATGCTGTTGTAAAATCTGTGCATCACCCTGCTTGTTATATACAGCTAATATGACAAATTGGCTACAATAGAAACCATTATTTTAATCAATTCCTTTTTGATAGAATTTACATTTGTTCTGAACTTTCTTTTCAAAGGAAGTAGCAACTGTAATGGAATCACAAATTTACTATATTGTAAAGGTTAAATGTAGACATAAATATTTTAAATGTATATGTTAAAACATTTGTAACTGAAAATACAGTTCCTGCTATTATCTCAAATGTTATTATCAAAATAATATTACAATATTATTAAATGAATTCATACTCTACAACACATACATTCTAAAATTTAATTTAGAAGTGATATTAATCTACCTGAATATAAAATCCATCTTATCATTAGATTTTCCCACAATCTCTTAAGTCTTTTTAAGAAATTATTATACTGGTTTTATAGATATTTTAATTCATTTATCAAAAAAATGTTATATTGAATACAGATCATGTCATATCATAATATCTGCACACCAATGTAATTAATTTTAATGAAGAATCACTCCAAAATACCTCTATTTATTTTGTTTCTATATGGCTCTAGTATACAAGGCTATTTTATTATATACTTGAACGTCACCACACCCCATTGACATATTTCCTTAATGATACGCCTTTTCTCAAATAAACTACTCACTTCATATGGTTATAAACACCATATTTAAAAAAGATAACCTGCTGAGGAAAGAAAAAAAAACCAGATTCTCCAAGTTTGGAGGCATAAAATCCTCTTCACTCTATTCTGCTTAGTTTGTCTTGACATTCCTCTGAGTAGACCCATACTACAAGTTTCTGGAACCTGGCAAACTAAAGCATGTCTCCTGAAAGTTCCTTAGTATTACTATATTCCTATCTATAGAGAATTGGAGAAAAAAAGGGTAGAGGATGACAGTGCATGCTGAAGGACATCACATAAGTGACACACAGCAAGAAATTCCCATTCCAAGTTGTCAAGCAGTGATGGCATCCTTCACATATTACATTTCACTAGATCCCTGTTCATATTAAATATGTAAGCATCTTTGTTATAAGACCACCTCCATGGGAAGAATAACATCAAAGGCAAATATGTTCATGAAGTTAGAAGAAAAAAATATATATTGGAACACATATCTATTGGTTAGTTACTACAAAATTTCTGTATTCAAATCTGCATCTAATTTTAAAATACTCATTAAGGGGCACGTGGGTGGCTCAATCAGTTAAGTGTCCAACTCTTGGCTTCGGCTCAGGTCATGATCTCAGGTCCTGAGATCGAGCCCCACATCAGGCTCTGTGCTCAGCATGGAGTCTGCTTGAGATTCTGTCTTTCCATCTCCCTCTGCCCCCCGACGCATGTGTGCTCTCTCTCTCTCAAAATAAATAAATAAATCTTTAAAAAAAAACACTCATTAAAGCAGATATGTATGCTAAACCATTATCTTTCTTGGTAAATATATATTCCATATAGTTCTATAACTTAATATGTTTATATTAAAACATGTACAAAATGTTTACAAAAATTTACATTAATAAATAGGATTGCACACTATTAATAACACAAGAAATAAAGTTTTCAGTTGTATAATGCAATACTATTATCAGAACATTTGCATTTCAGCATAAATAATATTTTGGTTCTCGGGTGTCACTTCTATATTTATGTAGATTTATGAATATTGCTGTTTCTTGGGGAGAAAGGATCAGAGGTTTTATCACAACAAAAGGCAAATGGAAAATGGTAAATTCAAGATCACATCATTTTTTTTTTATTATTACATGACGGTGTTCTCTTTATTAGAATGCAGTTTCTCCAGGTATCTGAGGTGTGTAAAAATCAAGAATGTTGTATTGCTTTATTTAGGTGAACCAAGTCCTCCATCCATACATGGGCAGCCAAGCAGTGGGAAGAGCTTTAAACTCAGTATCACCAAGCAGGATGATGGAGGGGCCCCTATTTTGGAATACATTGTGAAGTATAGAAGTGTAAGTACCTTTTTATTATCATTTTGTACAATGTTTTCAAATTGCATTAAATTTGCATTGAATTCATAGACATATTAGGCATGTATGTATATTAAGTAACAATGATAAACAGTTCTTCTAGAAATTCAATTGCTAATTGTCCATTGCTGAAATTCATCATTATAAATTGTGAAATACTTGCCTTTTGTGTGTGTGTATAAAATCTAAGCATTTATCATCAAAATAATGCCATGTATTCCTCTTGTGATTTCTAAACTTGACATTTCAGAAATGAAATGACATTTTCCTTGTTTTTTGACAATTTTAACAGGATGTTTTCACCTTTCATTCTGCTTGATATTAGTAACTTCAAGCTAAGCCCCTCTTCTCAATTTTAGTTATTGTATTATAGGTAATTATTTAGCTATTGTATCAAAAATATTTCATTTTTTATTTTATGAATTATTAATTTTTATACCTTAAATTTATAAGCCTTTTGATATGAATCATTTGATTAAAAAACAAATTAATTTAATCAACATTTAACAAAGAATGGCCATATTGAACTTGTGGAAGAAGGATTAGTTTTTTTCAAGTTTAATTAGCACTGGCTAATATGGAATTTTGGACAGCTAAGAGCTGCCTTGGGACTTAATATGGTAGTGGATGAAGGACATTCTCTGGCTGCAGAGTGATAAAGAAAGTGACCTTTGGCTGAAAATTATACCCAAGGCCACTAAAAGTGGCTTCTCTGAACATTGTCATAAGTGCCATTGAATATTTGTGTCTATTGTGGAATATGTTAAAAGTAAAATACAATTTTAAATTATTATTTATTATTATAACTTATCTTTCTTTTCCAGCAACCACAGTACACATTTTCTAAAAACCAAATTAAAATTATGTCCCATTAGAGAGAAATATTTCTCAAGACTGTGACTAAATGAAAAGTGGTTATTTGGGTGTTGGGTCAACTAAACAATAGGGTCTGGGGTCTGCCACAAATTGTTAAAGTAATTATCTTTATTATCATAACAGCTGTCTCAGTCCTCTTGGGCCACCATAATAAAATACCATAGTTGGATAGCTTAAACAATTGAAATTTGTTGTCTCACAGTCTGGAGGTTGGAATTCCAAGATCAAGGTTTGGTTCCTTCTGAGGCCTCCTTCATTGGCCTGCAGATGACTGCCTTCTTGGGGTCATGACCTTTTTTTTTTAAATATATTTATTTTTTTAAATTCAATTAACATATAATGTATTATTGCTTCAATTATTCATCAGAGGTAGAGGTGAGTGATTCCTCAGTCTTATATAATGCCCAGTGCTCATTACATCACATGCCCTCCTTAATATCCATCATCCAGTTACCCCATCCCCCATGCCCCTCCCCTCCAGCAGTGCTGTTTGTTTCCTATGATTAAGAGTCATGACCTTTTATCTGTACACATACATCCCTGACCTCGCTTCATCTTCTTATAAAATTATCAGTCTTATTGGATTAAAGTTCCATCCAAATGACCTCCTTAAGTCCATATCTCCTAATAAAGTCGCCTTGGAGTTTAGGGATTTAACATATGAATTGGGGACTGGAACACAATTCAGTCCATAACAGTGGTTATCATACATGAATCCTGTGTATCTAAAAGGACCCACTATTGGCATTTTGAGTAGCATAATAGTGAGCCATCCAGAAATCTACCCCCATATTACAGAATGTTTAGCATCCCTGCCCTCACTCACTATATAGCCAGTTGTGTCCCTGGTCATTATTGAAGCCAAAAATGTTCCCTAGAGTAGCACTGCATCTGTTTAGAGCCAATTAGATTCACAAAATGGGAAAAAAATGGCATTTTAGATTTTCAAAGGGAAATTATATGTATTATAATAATTTATTCATTTTATCATTTTATTGTCTATTTTATTATTTATTATTTTAATTGATCAATAATATAAATGATCATTTAAAATGCTGACCAAATTTATTTTGATTTAACATAAGTTAGAATTAATGCCTATGAGAAGTTTTGTGTGAAACATATATGGATACAAATAAGTTAAAGTGTTAAGTATAATAACATTAGAAAATTTGGAGTAATTCAAATTTCCATAAAGATGATGAAAATATTTTAATTTTTTTATGTAGTTGATATGGTTTAGTCTTAGATTAAAATTTGTACAAAGTTTTATTTTCAGTAAATTTGTATCTTCCATTTTTTCCCTTTTCTCCCCCGCCAAACTAATAATAGAGGTGCCCTATTTTCATCTATTTATTCAACATCTATATTTCGCCTACCAGTAAGAGAAAGTTTTAGTCCCTTCTCAAGTCCATCTTACTTCTGTCTTGCCATATCCCTCCTCTTCATTTCCAATCCCCAGGCCTTTCTAACTTGAAAAAGTGCTAGAGGATTTGTCTTTTTTAAATATGATAATGAAAATAATTGTTTGCATAATTAAAACATAGATACAATTGACTGATAATCAATTACTGTGTTACTGCTTTCAGACTTAATAGCATTTTGGGATGGAACACTGTTTTAGTAGCTGAATTTTAGGCTCCTATGGCAAGATTTATAAAAGCAATTCCTCTCCACCCTTTGTACTTCAAGGAAGGCATTTCTCCCTCTTGGACCCTATAGATATAAATATAAACCATTAATCAAACATTGGTTTGAAGGGGAGTTGGAGACACAGTTATGGAATGAATAAGTCACTGGGATAAAAGGCGAAAGATTCATACGATCTGAAGAGAAACCAGAGTATAAGTCACTGGTATAAAAGACAGAGCATTAGGAATATAGTCAATGATATTGTAATAGAGATGTGATGTATTTAGAAAGATGGTGCTACACTGGTGGTGAGCACAGCATAATGTATAAACTTGTTGAATCACTATGTTGTACACCTGAAACTAATGTAACATTGTGTGTCAACTATACTAAAAAAATAGGTACTTTTTAATGGGAAAACTAAACCTTACAGAATGTGGGTGATTTGGAGGGCATGGGGAACAGATATCAGAACATAAGACTTTAAAATCAAAACAGTTTTGCCGCAGTAAGTGTTGAATTAAAATCTGCCTGTGGAGATTATACTAACCCCTCGACTCTCTCATCTCACTTCAGTTGGCTAGCTCTGTGCGTCCCAAGTACAGCCATTCTGACCCACTTTATCTTTACCATATCCTTTATGGTATGCCTTCTACTTCAACACATTGAAATAATCTCTGTATTTCTATTCTTTTATCTTTCCCTTCCTTCTCTGCCCTCTTCATCCTACAAACATCATGCTTTACAGGGTTAATAGGAAATTCCATGATTCAATGTAAATTCTATGAATGTGGTCAAACAAGAGCAGATCTTGGGAAGGAATAATTTTCTCCACACTTTCTTTCTCAACAGATTAGTTCTTCACATTTAAAAATTTGGATGGCGTAGCCAGGTATGGGTAATGAGGAGGACAAGTGTTGTGATAAGCACTGGGTGTTATATGCGACTAATAATCATTGAACACTACATCAAAAACCAATGATGTACTATACAGTGTCCAACTGACATAATAAAAGAGTCAAACTTGGGAAAAAATAAATAAAAATAAATAAAAATTTGGATTTTAAGATTTGGTGGCTGTTTTACGGCAGTCTTTGCTTTGATATTTGTACTTGTATTGAAATAGTTACAATTTCAAAAAGGTTTTTAATCATCTGTTCTCTTTATGTGATTTTAAGCCACTTCATCTATTAGTTGCTCAAACTGAATGAATTCCATAGTGGAGTAAAGTACAATTGAATAACCTGAAAAAATATTTAGCGATATGTGATGCATTTTTTAATTGTATAACGTCTATAGAAAGGAAATAGGGGAATTCAGAAAGTAAGCAACATCATAAGGATTTTAAACTTGATTGCTTCTTTGACCCTATCTTTCAACTCTCCATGTGCATAAGACTGTATGTTTTACCATCTAGGAACAACAGAATTGAGATAATATATTCCCTATGTGAGTGTTGGTTGCTAGCAGACATTGAATCTAAGGATTAAACCTGAATTTCACCAGGATGAGGAAAAACAAATCATATCCTAATATAGAGAATGTGTGACTTAATATAGATCAGGAAACACATATAGAGCACCTGACTTTGTTCAGTTACACATTAAGAAGACAGAATTTATGAGAACAGAACTAGAGTAGTAAAAGAATAGATGTCTCTATGCATTCTTTGTGAAAATTAATGTCTCTAACAATAAGTCAGTAGGATTAAACCGTGTATTTGGAGAATAAAGACAAGCTTATTAATTTCATAATGTATATGGAAAAATGAAAGAAATTATTTTATGAACAGAATATTTTACATCTACTTTGTGTTGTAGAGTCACTGTAACTCCATATAATTTAATAAATAGTCTTTTTACACGCTTCAATGAGTTTTTCACCACTTTCTCCCTAATTTTATGATAGCTGTGGGATCATAACTATCACTAGTGTTGGCACATTAAATAAGTTTCCTGAGCTAAGAAGGACTAAAAAAAAAAAAATTAGCTGCTGAAAATCAATTGTGAAGAAAGTACTTTAGGGACTAGCAACAGTGCTCTAGCATACGTTTCTGAGTCTTAATTGATCTTCTTAAGCTATTTGGAGTCTAGAAGGCTGTATCTTAATGGTCATAGGAAAAGAAAAGATAATTTTAAAAAGGGTCTTAAAATAATACATATGTAAAATTGAGTTCTTGTTGAGATAACTTGTTTTCTAATTACTTATTAATAATAATAACTTATTTTCTGATTTACCTATGTTTAGGTGGGTGCACTGAAATTTATTTAAAGCCATCAGTATAAGTTTTGAAGCATTTTCAAATAATAACTATGGACATTAAAGAGTCGTAAGCTTTCTGATAATTTTCTTTGCACTAGTGAAGAGGATGATTATTCATTCTGGTATTGATATCTTCAAAAATACTATTTGTTGTCTGGATAAACACATCTAAGAATCAATGAATAAATGAGTCTGTGTTGAGCAATTATACATAATTCTATAATTAGATTAATAAATCTAAGAAATAATGAATGCAAGAGAAAAAAACACTTGTACTGGGTGAATTTTTATGGGTTGTGAGAACACAGAAGGTGATGGATAGGAAAAATTAGGTTTTACTTTTCCCTAAAGAGATATGTGAGTGATGGAAACTAGGAATAGATTAAGTAGGATCCAGTTTACAAAATTTTACCAAGCCTCAGGATATGGAACAAAGGCAATTTGAATCAGTTATGATAATAGAAAAAAAGAAATCAGAATTTGAGTCAACTATACTTCAATTAAAAAGAAAAAAATTAGAATTTGAAACTTTACTAAAATCCTCCAAATCTTACATCTTTTGAAATCACAGTGGAGTGTATGAGTGTGTGTGTGTGAGAGAGAGAGAGAGAGGGAGAGTGTGTGTGTGTGTGTGATTGCTAAATCACCTCTCTGATATTCAGAGTAATAAATGGAGCCGTAGAGAATTCTGGGGCCTTTTGTAAGGTCATACAAGTAGTGAATAGCTGAACCATGCTACCAGGAAATCTAGGAACCAGAAACCGCCTTACATGGAAACACAAAATCTTAAAGCATAACACAGGGGAGTCGTGAGGACCTTAAAATTCATCTAGTGAAAGAACAAGCTCCCTCCTCTATTGTCCTCTGTTGATTCTGTTTTCATTTAAGATGATGTTGAACATATATTCCCTGAAACTTCAAAAAGGATTAGTGAATTACTTCTTATAAATAAAAGCAGTCAAGGAGTCCTCTACAAATAAGAAAACCAACACTCCTTTCATCTCTTAGCTCTCCTCCCTATACGATGATAGCAAATATTTCCTCATATGCTGGTATTATGATTTTAAAATAACTGTTAAGGAGAGCTCTTAACTGTCATTTGGCCCTGTTATCTATTTTCTGAGAAAAAGGATTGCTTAAGAAAAGCTATATCAAAGCAAAATGGCCATTTTTCTTTTAGTAGCTGCCCTTCAACATTTAATTGGCTTATTAATAATAGCCCTATTCAGCAAATCATCTCATTAAGTTACCTAGGGGAACATTTTGCAACTAGATTATCTTAAATCGTTCCCTAGGCATTCAAATTCTGTAAATTAGGCACTCTACAGATGCATAATTGAGATTTTGATACCTAGGGGAGTATTTGGTAACACCCACTTTAATTTTTTTTTCCTATTCCCTAGGAATAGCAATTAAGGGATTAAAAAACCTCCTTGTCTAATGTCGAATGGAAAAATGAAATTGACTAAATGGGGGGAAATATTAGAACTCCCTTTGGTTCCTTATGCCATCAGTCCAACTATCTAAAATGATGGAGGGGCTTTTAATTTATCATGTTAAGAGCTTCAACGATTAAGAGTTAAATGATGGGTAATTCAGAAGAGACTATCTACATGTCTTGTGCTTGTCAGGAAGTTTCACTTCAAATGCTCAGTTCCCAGAAATAGTATTTTTGGAGGATTATGTGAAGGACATGAAGTTTCTCCTTCACTCTGAAGAATAAATTTTGTCCTGGGGTAATCCAGATCTCAGCTGTTGGTTCATTTTCTGGCTCTTTCGCCCATATCTCCACTCAGATCCAAAGGAAAACAACTCTGGATTTTCACCAAGGTATTCTTTCTCATCAAGCACTTCACAGTTGCTTAGGGCTTCTGGTATTATTGGGATAGAAGGAAGGCCATAGGGGCAACTCTTTACTGCTTCATGTACCCTTTGTCTTTATCTAATCTTTCAATTCTCCTGCTTCTTACCCCCTCCTTCCTGTAGATGGCCATATGTGTATACACAGTATAGAACATATCAGATATTTATGTTATATAGACTTTATTGTGTCTGTATATGTGTATATATTGTGTCTATATATGTGTGTATGTGCCTAAACACATATACACATATAGACACAATAAAATCTACATATACACAAACATATACATATATACATTTAATATATCATCTAAGATTGTTTTTGAATAAATATTTTTAAGCTTTATTTTTTTGGTCAATACCTATAGTGTTGTTACATTTACTGAAAACAATAAGCCCATAGCGTGTATCTTTCTGTCTCCCAGTGTTGGTACACTTTTCTGAGATTTTCAGTCATTGTGCTTACTTTTGGATCTAAACCTCCATGAAAGAATCACACTTTTTCATTAACTAAGTTAGGAAAAATGAAAAATGGCACTGGAGTTGATTATTTCCAATGAGGGTGACATCACTTCCCTAGAGACCTTCTGAGGCCCTGGACTCTCCTAAGTTTCCCTGTTTTATGCTCCCAGAGCATTCTTCATTTTTCAAAGAGCTCATGTCTTTCTTCTGGGCTGGTGTAAACTCCAAGATGAGCATATTGTACATGTCCTGTTCACTATTGTGTTCAGAGTTCTAGAACAGCCCCTCTACCCAATAAAGGTGGAATGAATAATTGATGGATGAATCGATGATGAAGGAAGATGTTGGGAAAATCATGGCTGTTCGGTACAGCTGTCCCAAGCATTTCAAAAGTGCTCCTCACTTCCTTTCTTACACTTAATAATCATTTAGTGATGTAAGCAAGTTACAAGCATTCTGGCCCAAACTATTCGGTTTTCCATTGGCCTCTTCAGTACACCTCATAATACCTTAAATAGTACTGGACAACAATTTATAAACTTAATCAATATATAAGTTCAAAAAGCAAAGGAAATATCTCTTGTTTCTATGATAACTTTAAGTGCTTTTCCAAAACCCATGGCTTCATAGCATTAAGGGTGCTAATATGTTTTAGTTTTATTTTTTCATTTTTATTTTTTTTAAAGATTTTATTTATTTATTTGAGAGAGAGAAAATGAGAGATAGAGAGCACGAGAGGGAAGAGGGTCAGAGGGAGAAGCAGACTCCCTGCCGAGCAGGGAGCCCGATGCGGGACTCGATCCCGGGACTCCAGGATCATGACCTGAGCCAAAAGCAGTCGCTTAACCAACTGAGCCACCCAGGCGCCCCTATGTTTTAGTTTTAGATGAAATATCAAAACAGGCTAACTGATACCTCTGTAATAAAAATCCTATGTAACCAAAAATAATTAAGTAGGAAAATAGAGTAATAGTATGGTATCAAAACAGTAATATCTTCTTGTCTCCTTTTAATGGACACTTCATGTTTGTAGTATCATCAATTTAATGCAATCATGCCTTTAACATCCACAATTTAATCTCAGAGAATAAATCCTAAATTTTCACCATAAATGCTGAAAACATTGTTATGCTTTATAGTCAAAGAAACATTGTAAAATATTGACTCAACATAAGGTAATACTGGGCTGAGCTCTGAGGTTAAAAAGGATTGATCTCTCTGTCATCTATCTATCCATCTATCTCGCCAGGCTCTAATTTACTTATAATTATATCTCTGGGAAATTGAGATTTGCAATTGCATCATTCCAGAAAAATATTATTTTATTTTCATATAGTTATTATGGTAATAGGCTCTCCTTAATAATAGTTGTCTTTTGCTAAGTGCTTAGGATTCCTAAGGCCCTGGACTACCCAAAGTACTTGGTTTTCCTCATTGCTCCCTCATAAAAGCTGACAAATGCAGCTGTTGCTATCATTTCTGTAATAGACATGAGAGAAACGAGGCAAAGAGGTTAAGGAATGCACCAGTGTTTAAATGGTTAACATGGCACAGCCAAATGTTCACATTGTTTAGGATAGTTTGAGTCATTAAGTTGTATAAATTTATTGTTCTGTGTTAATTTTAATCATAGTATATTTTTCAAATAAAAGTTAATTCAAATATATGATCTAAAGCATTTATTTTAGAAAGAGAATCAGGATTTAAGTGTAGATGTTCAAGGATAGCATAACACATTTTATTTTCTGATGCTAAGAACATTTTTAACAGGTAATATTTTTTCTTATATGTTGTTTTATTATGAGTCTAAAACAGCAGAATAATAAAAATACTCATGGTAATTTAAATCTGTAAAAAATACCCAGCCTCTATTTGCAGGACATTTTATCTCCCCTTCCCCCACCTCAAACCTTAAACAATAGTCTCTTGCAATTATTTTAATGGACATACTAAGCATTTTCTGTAAATTATGTTTCATTTTTTCTGTCCACATGACTATTAATAATCAAAAAATGGCCAAACAGCCAAATGATATCTGTGAAATAAAAATAAATTCTTAATGAAGGTAAATTATCAGCCACTGAATTATCAAAAATTAATTATGAAATCATTCTTTGGCTAAAATTTAAAAAACATTACATTTTTATGGACAATTCTTAGAAATGACCTCATTGGTAAAGCAACTTTCTTTATCCCTGTAGATGATAAAATATCCTTTCTTGAAATTAATAAAAACACAGTTTTTCTACCTGAAGATAAATTATATTTTTAAAAAATCCCAACTTCAGTGTATTTACAAAATATATTTGATTGCCTCTACAGAAAGATAAAGAAGATCAGTGGCTAGAGAAAAAAGTGCAGGGAAATAAAGACCACATTATTTTGGAGCATCTACAGTGGACAATGGGGTATGAAGTTCAAATTACAGCTGCCAATAGATTGGGATATTCAGAACCGACAGTCTATGAGTTCAGCATGCCACCAAAGCCGAACATTATTAAAGGTAAGCAAAACTATCTGCTTTCTTAGGCTGGCAATAAATATGATAATCATCTTTTTATAACTCCTCTAGATTTTTTCTTAATATTGAAAACGTAATTTTATAGAAGGAATTGTAAATTCTGAGTTCTAATCATGATTATAATGATATGTCTTACTCAAGATTTCTCAAATTGTTCTTGCATGGGGTATCAGTTAACTTGTAAATACACTCTGACAACTTTGGTGGTTGAAGCAATGGGGAGAGAATGAACAGAGGGAGGGGATGGAAGGTAAGAGTGAAGTGTCAAAAATCAACATGAAAAATTTCTGTTGAAACCAGAAAATCTTTCGCAAAGAAGACTTCTCTACCAAACACTTGGAGGCTGGTCCTTCACTTTCGGGAAAATTGCGGTCAAAGATAATGAGTCCATCCATGACTGATCAAACCAGTTGATTTTGGAAAGATAGAATCAATCACACAGTGAGTCAGAAACAACCACAGATGTAGCCCAGAAAAAATTATAACTAGGATTTCAAGGAGGCTTGCAACGTTGCAGGACACTCAACATCAGTATTCAAGCGCACTGGTGAATTCTACCTTTATTAGTAACCGTGCTTGCATCATTATATGCTAGTAATATTATCAAAGTCCACAGGAGAGATATTAAATTTTTTTCAGATACACGTTATAGAGGTAAAGATGCAAGAATTTGTCCTGATTCATAGTCATATTTAACTCTATGAGTTATCACATGGGTCATACTTTAGCATCTACCATTCCTTTAAATATAATATGTAATATTTACTGGTAAATCTTATACATACATGTATGATATGTGTAATATACATATACTCTTCATATGGATATATGTAGAGATGAGAGCAGCATATTGATAAGCATGGCTTATTGAGGTCAGATTATATTACAGTGTCAGTATTGTTACATAACACTGTTGAGACTGGGAAAAAATAAAATGTGTTAGTTAAGTCATGCTCTTTAACCCTCTTGTAACTTCAAATAGATATTAATCTCATTATTGTGAGTTTGTGATATAGTATATCTTTTTTTCCAAATTGAAAGCATCTTTATACAGTTAATCTTTCTATTAAAAAATAATTACTATTGGTTAGATGGTTTAAAAGTCATTGATATTTGGCTTTGTATTGCTAATATTGATAAGTGCTCCTGATTATAATTTGAAATTAGGACGTTGAGAACATCTAGAACTAATATTGATATGTTGTAATGGAGTTTTTAAAAATTTACAAAGTACTTTTGCATTTATTATCTCATTATCTCATTTATGTATCTCTGAATCTGGATTGAACAAGGAAGAGTTATACTCATTTTACAGATATAAATTTGGAAGGTTAAGGGATCTGTTTAAGGTCAGAGCTACTTTAGTCATATGACAAATCCAATAATCTTATAAGATGATACACCTAAGAATATGGTTGAATATTTTATCAAGTTAATTTCCTCTGTGAGTTTGAAACATCAGTAACTACCTCTACAATTACAATGTTTTATTTTTGTAGTAATTATCCTCTATACAGATACAAGCAACATGATATAAATATGATTCTAAATCTGAGTCAGAATCTTCAAAGGAGGATTTCAACAGTGTACTCCATTTTCCTCAATCTTTAATTTATCTTGTATGTTTGGAGAAAATAATTATTTTTATCAAGATAAAAATTAATGTTGTATGAAGTTGGAAGACAACATTTTAATAACATTTTATAGGTAACAAACAAATTGTGAAAAAAATAGACTTTAGGCAGTTTACTTTATGTTATACTTCCAGCGTCCCTGCTAGTTTTATAAAAAATCATTGTGAAGGAGCTCCTGGGTGGCTCAGTCGGTTGAGCGTCTGCCTTCAGCTCAGGTCATGATCCCGGGGTCCTGGGATGGAGCCCTGCATCAAGCTCCCTGGTCAGTGGGGTGTTTGCTTCTCCCTCTCCCTCTGCCGCTCCCCCTGTTTGTGCTCTCTCTCTCTCTCTAATAAATAAATCTTTAAAAAAAATCATTGTTGGGGCGCCTGGGTGGCTCAGTCGTTAAGCGGCTGCCTTCGGCTCAGGTCATGATCCCAGGCTCCTGGGATCGAGCCCCGCATGGGGCTCCCTGCTCAGCGGGAAGCCTGCTTCTCCCTCTCCCACTCCCCCTGCTTGTGTTCCCTCTCTCACTGTGTCTCTCTCTGTCAAATAAATAAATAAAATCTTTAAAAAAACAAATAAATAAATAAAATCATTATTAATAAAAACCAAAAATAAGTATGGATAAAAGGGTAAAAAGTAAGTAAGAATATATGTATATACATTTATACATACATGTACATACACATATACATACATATACAGGCACAAACATACCTAAGATATATTATGATACATTTACTATAAAAACGTTTTGTTTGAATTTCAGAATCAGATTGTGGGCAGTACCTAGAAGACAATTGGAAAGAATTATGGTTTATAGTTTCAGCTTTGCTCTCATTAATTAATTTTTCTTGATATGCATTTTCTTATCTCTAAGCTAGTTTCTTCTGGTTCTACTATGTTAAGATTCATTCATTTGTTCTAGGTATTTATTGAGGTCTTGCTTTGTGAGAATGACAGAAATGGGCACAGAGGAATGACCTGTGAAAAATACAGAACTGGCCCCTGCCTTCAGAGACTTTACAATCTAGTAGGGAAGGTAGACATAAAACCTAGGGTTAGAATAACCACCAAATAATTACAACTAAGAGATATGCTGGGGCTGTATGCTGCCATGAAGGGGTTTGGCACTTGTACCTAACTTGTGGTGAGAGGGTAGGGGTTAGGGAAGGGTTCCTTTAGAAAGTGCGTTTCCAAAACAAACTTAAAGGAAATGAGTCTTCCGGGGAAAGTTTGTATATAGAAGAAGCCTCTGAGAGAGAGAGAAAAAAAATTTTTTTGATCTGCCTTAGGAACTAGATAAAACATGGCTGAAGAGAACCTGGAGGTGTATGAACAAAAATAAGGATAAAGAGGGATCTGCGACCCAGATAATCCAAGGTCTTCTGAAAATTACATAAACCATCTTAAAAGAGGTCCTAGAAGCAATAAGAAATCATTTGAAGCAGGGATGTTATATGAATAGATAGGCATCACAGACAGATTAATCTTGCTCATATGGGTAAAAGGAAGAGATAGATGAACAGGAACACTTGAAAAAAAAAGTGATAGCAGTAGAAAAAGAAAACCATGAATAAATTCTGGACACAGTGTAGATGTAGGTTAACCTTACATGTGTAACAGATTGAATTAAGTAGATATTGATGACTTTTGAGTTTCTTGCTTGGATAGTTGGAACACTGTTGGCATCATCTCTCAGGATGAAGAATCTGAGGAGCAGGATGTGCAGAATAGGATCAAACATAAGATCGGTTTGGTGATCCTTAAGTTTGAAATGTCAAGTAGTACTTATATGTGTGCATATAAAGATGAGAAGATGTCATAGATTGGAAACATGCATTATGATGTTAACATTAACAGGTTGATGGTATCTGAAGCCTGGATGAGGATAAAATTACACAATGAGTAATGCCCAAGTTCCATGAAAAAGAGTCTGAAATCCTCAATAGATGTCTCCCTGGTACCTAGAAGCATGCCTGGCACAGCATAGATGTTCAAGGAGTACTTGAGTAACTGAGTAGAGGATAAAGAACTGAGTCCCAAGGAACTATTATACAGGAAGAGAAAACCACAGCAACCTCCCACCCCCCATGAGATTAAGATGTTGTAGAGTTCCTGGAAAAACAAAAGATTGTAGTATCTTGGAAGTTAAGACAGAGTCATCTTTCAAGAAGAAAAGGTATAAATCGCATTTGCCACTTCAGATGCTGCCAAGAGGTCAACGGAACTCAATCTAAAGAGATGTGAAGTGTCCTTCATACATACAACTTCACTGAAGTGGCTGTGAGAGAAATTATGTGAGGTTAGGAGGTTTAGACTCCATGTTTATTTAATGCTTTTAAAAAGGTTTGCTATGAAGGCGAGCAGAGATTTAAAAAAAAAAAAGAAAGAAACAGTGTCAGAAGGACTTTTAGGATGAAAAATGCTAGAGTGTGTTTCACAGCTGATGAGGCAGATCATGCAGTCAAGGAGAAGTCAGAAAAAGCTATCTGAGAAGGTAGGAGAAAGAATTCCTCCCCCTCTAAACTATGCAGCTGATACAAAGCGATAGCAGCCTCCTGGAAAAGGGGAAAGAAGAAAAGATTAATTTATCTATAAAAATGCCACAAAATAATGTTTAACTGTAGCCACCGACTTGAATCCTGAATCCACTGACTGCTAAAGCCTCATGGAAAGCCTCATTAATGACATGCCTTTATAGCTTAAGAATTGTTCAGCTTAGCTCTAGAAGGTTTTTTGGGGCAATTTTAAAGACTGTAATGGGTGATGGTGAATTTGGGAGCCTTTATGCCCACAATATCCTACAGAGTTAAAATTATGTGTCGGTAAAATAAGGAAAATGATCTGCATATGCCTTCATCAAAATTACCCTGGTAGCTGTATGATTTCTTATTCCGTTTTAAAGTAAATATTATAAATTCAAACTCATATCTGAAATAAGTTATCTATAATAAACTAGCAGACCTTAAATCTTTTTATTCCAGTTTTAGAAGATGTGAACTTTACAAGTTAATTGAGTTTTAATCCATTTTTGATAGCATGCATTGTAAACTGTCTAAATAAGTTTATAGACTTTTGAATTTAAAAAGTCATTGCTTATGTGCATTCAATATATTTAACTTTTTGTAAGCCACAGACTAAATATAGAGTACATGTATTTGTTGGACTGAAGAACTATTTTTTTAACAATATGCTCACCTTACATTCATATATAATATGTTACATTGGCAATAATGGCTTTTCTATGTATGTATATTAGTGAATTCCACACTTCTCCATAGTTTATTATTCTAATTTAAAAAGTACTTTGTGATGAATAATATTTTCTCATTTCCATTTATTAAACATGTGTTTACTTTGAAA